CCAGCTCACGTGGTTCCACACATACATATAAATAATCAACCACATACCCAACAGTCATAAAATCTGTCCCGATAAAGTGAATCTAAACCTATTAACCAGCTCACGTGATTTCACACATGCATATAAAATATTGATTACTATCATTAACAACTATGGCAACACATTCATACGGCATAATATAATAATGGCCGTAATTAACAGTCAACACATCATTGTCCACGAAATGCACACAGCATAAATATAATAATGATTAATATCATTAACAACTTCTAAGCTATTTAAATTCCAAATAAAGTCCGTTATATTTTGATAATAACTAAGACATGATTAATATCATCAAAAAATTTATAAATTTACCAACACAGTTCACCATATAATCCGGATACTCATTATGATTAAAATCATGTAATATATATTCCACTAGCATTAATGATTACTATCATTATCAACTTAAACAATTGAATATAATAATCTACAGTGTATACTGGACAATCATTACGATTAAAATCATGTAATCTAATAAACCAACATTAATAATTAAAAACGGTAAATAAAATAATACTACATTTATTATTTAATAATAATCATTAATTAAATTAAGTCCGCTTAAGAGCCGTCGATAGTGGAAACACCATACATTTAATTTTTACTTACTAATTCTATCATAGTAATACCGATTACTAGGTCCATTAAAGTCATACCAACACATCTATTAATAATACAAGAGGTGTTAAGTTCTATGGAAATGTTTTTCCATAAATAATCTATCTCGGTTTAAATAATTTCACGGCCCTATCACACTAAAACAAAAATATCTCCTAGTAGAATAGGAATCTGAAAATAAAATTTATACCATTAAAAACCTAACGAAAAATTCTTAAATTTCAACTCAAGAATGACCCAATTTGGTGTTAAAATGACTAAGTTATGACCGTTTCAATTTCTTGTCACAAAACAGGCAAAATAATAGGTTGAGCTCAAATGCTACTGTGAGCGTGTCCACGCCAGATTATCTCACTTAAGCTCTGTGCACCATTATTCTCCTGTTGAACAGACTAAGTCAACGGTTTAGATGCACCCACGGACCAGATCTCCATGTGCCAAGAAGCACTGGATCGGATGCCCTTTCATCAATTAAATCTAACAACCAGATTCGTGTGTGCACCCTATTTCTATGAACCGCATCATACTAAATCATCTTACCTTCATCATATTAAGTCAACGTCCTAGATCTGCGTATGTAACAATTCTTCATACACCGTACCACACCGGATTACAGTACTTAATTTAAATTCCGTAAATTATAAAAGAAATTCTAAAAGTATCCAGAAAAATTCCAAAAACTTATAATTAATATTTTGGGCCATAATTACTAAATTGGCCCATAATTAATATATATAATGATCTAACCAATCATTCAATAAAAATAATCATGTATAACAACATTAAATCTATTTTTAAAATTTCAGATAAATAAAATTTAGTTTATCACAACATAACATATATACACACACACACACACACACACCCCATAATAAATTACATAATTTGTACGGATTACACATACACATATAATCCGATTAATACATTATCTTATTCCACAAGATAAAATATTATTATAATTTTACCATAACAATACATACAATATTATATTATGATAACAACACATATATATATGCACATGATTAAATTGATAATTTTACAAAGAATAAACCTATTCAAAGAATTCGATTAACAAATTATTTTAATCAACAAAATATAATTTTGATAATCAATGTGATAGATTTATAAATTCAAAAAGGTAAAGTTGAGTATAAACTTGCCTAACGAATTTGAAATAAATCCAAAATACCACATAATCGGTAAAATCGTTCCTCCGTGTACCAAAGCTCCTTCCTCTCTCTCTCTCTCTCTCTTGCCAAACCAATTCTCTGCTTCTTAATTAATAACCTCACGAAGACTTCTAACATCTCACTTACATCAAGTTATGAACCTACAAATAACAAAACCAATAGTGGATCCCGTCACTTTCATTCTCCCTTATCATTTCATTAACAAACAAATAATACAAATTTAATTCAAACATACCCACGTGAATAAAATCAAAGTCCAAAGAAATGGTCAAAAAAATTTAACTATTGAGCTCCAAGCCAAATCATTACAATTACAATCACCAAATTTCCTTTTTCTTTCTTTCTTTCGGCCCACCTGCCCATTCACCTCATTCTTTCTACTTGTATCATTTTTCTTCTTCGGATCCAATTGACCAAAAACGTATATATAAATATAATATATAATCTCTCTCTCTCTCTCTCTCTCTCTCTAATATAAACTCTCCCTCTCTCGAATCCTTTCACTCCTAATACATATAAAACTAAAGTAATGATAAAGGAATCGAAAAAAAATCACCGAATTAATATCGAATTTGACGTGGTTGACAATTCTTATTACGTAATTCTTATCACGTGTTAAATAATTATTTTTAAGAATTATTTAAGTAAATGAGATGAACAAAAACGTATCAAATTCGATACTTATTTGGGGTTAATTCATCTATCTCCCTATCAATATCCATAAAACTAATATTCTAACACACTTTCTCTCTCCTTATAATAACTTCACTCATTCAGACCAATAAGACATAAATAACTAATAAGATACTGACCATGCACAATCACAATCCACAAAATAAAGGTTCAAAATAAAAATCAAATAACATTAATTAATTTAAATGCACTTAGGTAATTAAATAACATTAAATAATTAAATGCAAGCAAATAACATTAAATAGTGCACATAAATAAAAAATTAAAAATAAAAATTAATTTAATCTCATTTAAATTAAATAAACAAATTCATTTAATAATTTATTTAAAATTACGGAGTATTACATGATCCGAACCCATTTAAGGTTAACCTAAACTCATTTATTTCGTGTTGTATTGACGAATCGTGTTGTAATTTACCACCCCTACGAGGGCTGCCTTCCACTATACACCATCATACTATTGCCATCTCCATTGCCTTCCACCACCATCATCTACACCATGGATGTCTTCCTCCACTAACATTGGCTTTCATCAGCACCACTATCGTCTTCCACCACATACCCCTACCACCGCCGCCTTCCACCATTGCCGCCGCCGCCGCCTTTCACCATTGCTACCACCGCCGCCTTCCATCTTCACCGCCATCTACCATAGCCATCATTTCTTTTAAAAAAATTATACGGAATAGAAGAATATTATTCTTTTAATGTAATTTATTTATGAGTAACAGAGGTGTTTTGGAGAATTCAATTTGAAAATTATTTTTTTCTAAATTTTAAATTAATCCAACCAAACAATATAATAGTTTTTCTATTCTTACGCATTTAAAATTTGCTACCAAACAATAGAATGACAATGAACGTTCGATTCCATTTTCATTCTTATTTTATTTTCACTTTCATTCCATTTTATTCATGCATATATACCAGACGTAACTTGAAAAAAGGGTTGATACTAAATGATTAATGAAAAAAATATGTCTATTTTTAAAAAAAAATAGACATATATAATCAAGGTGCTAAGGTCGCTCGTCTCTTATTAATTTGATTATAATGTCGCATAGTATTCACCTAGAGCTAGCCTCTCATCATATATATATATATATATATATATATATATATAATATGTTAACAATACTACTCAAAACTATTTCTAACTTTTTAGATAAAAAAACTAAAAAGGTTATGAAAAATAATGAAAATACCATAATATTATATATATATATATAATGTCGCATAGTATTCACCAAGAGCTAGCCTCTCATCATCATCATATATATATATATACATATATATATATATATATATATATATATATATATATAACTTTTTAGATAAAAAAACTAAAAAGGTTATGAAAAAAGGTTATTAAAAATAATGAAAATATATATATATATATATATATATATATATATATATAACTTTTTAGATAAAAAAAACTAAAAAGGTTATGAAAAAAGGTTATTAAAAATAATGAAAATACCATAATATTATATATATATATATATATATATATATATATATATATAATATTATGGTATTTTCATTATTTTTAATAACCTTTTTTCATAACCTTTTTAGTTTTTTTATCTAAAAAGTTAGAAATAGTTTTGAGTATTATTGTTAATATATGATTTATATTTACATTTCTTAAACGCGCGTATATATATATATATATATAATATTATGGTATTTTCATTATTTTTAATAACCTTTTTTCATAACCTTTTTAGTTTTTTTATCTAAAAAGTTAGAAATAGTTTTGAGTATTATTGTTAATATATGATTTATATTTACATTTCTTAAACGCGCGTATTACGTGGACCATAGGATCGGGAAGGAATTGATAAAATTGTTAAATATATATATATATAATATTATGGTATTTTCATTATTTTTAATAACCTTTTTTCATAACCTTTTTAGTTTTTTTATCTAAAAAGTTAGAAATAGTTTTGAGTATTATTGTTAATATATGATTTATATTTACATTTCTTAAACGCGCGTATTACGTGGACCATAGGATCGGGAAGGAATTGATACAATTGTTAAGTACTCCGTATTCCTTTCCGATAATTTACGAAACCCGTAGGTCACTTGAGAGAATTTCAAAGTCGTCTCTCCCAAAATTTATTCTACAAAATTCAAATATAAGATAATCGTTAAGTCCAAAATGGAGGTTGCCTATTGACTAAAGATGCACATGATTTGAAAAACAGAACCAAAAAAGTGTTTCCTAATTAATAACTAATTTATTAGAGAGTAAAAAGAGTTGGCGGACTCAATATGGAAGTCTTTGGTGGGCATGCAAGTAGTAGTATTATTAATTATGTGGCCCATCTCCATTACCTTACAATCTGCTTGTAGCTTCTCTCCAATGATTTCGTGAATAAACTTATAAAAGACAATCTCTCTGTTCTCTTTATCATTGCTTATCTTCTTCATGAACACCATGGCTAACCCTACTACTTTTCTTAGTATTGTTGTTTTAATGGTAGTGTGGTTGTGGGGGAGTGATAATCGTATGATAAAACTCACCTCTGCCAATTCTTGCATTGAGAGGGAGAGGAATGCACTTCTCACCTTCAAATATGGTCTCAATGATTCTTCCGGAAGACTTTCTTCTTGGAAGGGTGACGATTGCTGCCGATGGAGTGGCGTCCGATGCAACAACATAACGGGACATGTAGTCAAGCTCCACCTCAGACACCCATTTCCAAATCCATCCTTCAAGGCTTATGATTCAATGAACTATGATGAACAAAACGCCTATGTATCAGATTACCGAAGGTCGTGTTTGGGAGGTAAGGTAAGTTCTTCATTGCTTCACTTGAAATATTTGAATTCTTTGGACCTGAGCTCAAATAATTTTGAAGGAATTCAAATTCCTAAATTCTTGGGTATGCTTGAAAACTTGAGATATCTCGATCTCTCTTCTTCATTCTTTGGCGGAGAGATTCCACCTCATCTCGGAAATCTATCCAACCTGAATTCACTTCATCTCGGTACTGATTCAATATCGTTCGTCTTAACTGACCCCACAACGAACATAGTTGAGCTTCAAACAGCCAATTTGGAATGGCTCTCCCGTCTCACGTCTTTGAAATACCTCAACATTGAAAGCGTGGCTATCAATGACACTAATTGGGTGCGATCAATTAATATGCTTCCTAACCTTGTGGAGTTACACTTGCCTTATTGTCGTCTACCGAACCTTCCACTCTCATTCTCGTTCGTTAACTCTACTCTGCTTTCGGTCCTTGATATCTCTGGTCTTCGGTTTAGATCTGATCTTGGGTTTAACTCCTTAATACCAAATTGGTTGTTCAATCTCACAAGCCTCACTGAAATTTATCTCCAAGGTAATCGATTCGGTGGATCCATTCCGAGTCAATTCGTGAAGTTGAAGTCTTTGGAATCCCTTGATTTGTCTTCTAATGAATTTCAAGGTCAACTGCCACCGATATTTTTGGGAAATCTTTGCAAGCTTAAAATTCTAGACCTTTCTCGAAACAATTTCAGCGGTGAGGTGGTTGAGTTTTTTGGTGGATTCTTGGGCTGTCCAACCAATAGTCTTGTGTCACTAAATTTGGAGTACAACTCTTTCGAAGGTGAAGTACCCAATTCAATAGGAGTACTTCACAACCTTCAACATCTCCGCCTCTTCAATAACTCTTTCTCGGGTTCAATGCCGAAATCGATTGGAAATTTGTCGTCTTTGCAAGAATTGGACCTCTCATTCAACAGGATGAATGGAACCATTCCGGAGAGTTTTGGACAACTCTCAAAACTCATACACCTAAATCTCGATGAAAATTCATGGGAAGGTGTTATAACAGAAACCCATTTGATGAATCTCAAGAGTTTAAGACATTTAACAATTTTTAGAACAGGGAGAGTCAGGCCGTTGGTTTTCAATGTGACATACGCATGGCTACCCCCTTTCAAGCTCAAGTATCTCAAACTAGATAATTATTGCCTAGTGGGCCCAAGGTTTTCAATGTGGCTTCAAGTTCAAAGTGAACTCACTTATGTGTCCCTTGGAAATGTTGGAATTGCAGACACCATACCCGAGGAATGGTTTTCGAAGATATCTTATGGACTCACCTATTTGGATCTGTCTAACAACCAGATCAAAGGGAAGCTCCCATACCATTTAGAATCTCCAAAATTGTGGTGGATTGACTTGAGCAATAACAGTTTTCATGGTTATCTCCCATTATGGTCCACCAATGAATTGGAGTACTGTTTTCTTCACAACAACTTATTTTCAGGGCCAATTCCATCAAATATTGGTGACTTGATGCCGCAACTAGGTTTTTTGTCTATACATGAGAATCATCTCAATGGTACAATTCCATCATCAATATGTACATTAGGAAATTTGCAATATCTTTACCTACGGACCAATCAACTATTTGGAGAGCTCCCTCAGTGTTGGAACAAATTGCAAAAGTTAATTTCCTTAGATGTGTCCAACAATAGTCTTTCAGGTAAAATTCCGAACTCAATTGGTTCCCTAAGTTCTCTTGTTATATTATTGTTGAGTAGCAACAATCTAGATGGGGAAATTCCTCCATCCTTGTGGAACTGCACAATGATGACGACCGTTGATCTTGGAGGAAATAATTTGTCAGGAAAATTACCATCATGGATAGGAGGAAATGGCATTGCATTAAAAATTCTACGGCTGCGATCTAATTCATTCATTGGGAACATTCCTCACCAATGGTGCAATCTAAAAGAACTTCACGTCCTAGATCTTGCACACAACAATCTTTCGGGGGTCATTCCCAGTTGCTTGAAAAATTTAACAGCTCTAGTTTATGGTAGCAACAGTCCGGCAAACTTCACCAATGAGGAGCAAATAATTGTGGTGGCCAAAGGACGTGAACTCAAATACAGTTGGACTATTCAATTCGTAAATAGTATTGATCTTTCAGCGAATAAGCTAGTTGGTGAAATTCCTGAAGAGATCACAAGCCTCATTGCACTAAATACCTTAAATTTTTCAATGAATCGTCTTTTTGGACACATTCCAGATAACATTGGAAATTTGCGATGGTTGGAAACTTTAGATGTTTCAAGCAACAATTTCTCGGGACCGATTCCCCAAAGTTTGTCGTCATTAACATCTTTGGCTCATTTGAACTTCTCTCACAACAATTTGGTAGGAAAAATACCTTCTGGATATCAGCTGCAAACACTCGACGATCCATCCATTTATGAAGGTAACCCTTTACTTTGTGGACTCCCTCTTCGAACCAAGTGCCAAGGTGATGATGCATCTAATGCTCTTCCCGCCGGCAATGATGATGATGACGAAAATGAAGTTGAAATGGTATGGTTCTATGGAAGCATGGGACTTGGATTTGTGGTGGGATTTTGGGTTTTTTTTGGTACCTTATTGATAAAGAAGTCGTGGAGGCATGCTTATATTCAATTCTTGGAGAACATGATCGAAAGGATAGCTCTTATGATTGAATTGAGTGTGGCTCGTTTGCAAAGAAGATGGGATCAGTGAAAAATTAATCTTGTTGATGATCGAGGTGGTCTGTAATCTGGAGTATTTGTTTCAAGACAATTATGGTAACTCAGGGTGTATCAATGAAAAAGCATGTGTGTTTAGGCACAGGCAAGTTCCAAGCTATGTGATATATTTGTTATGTTCTTGTTTTTTTCTTCTCTCTCTTTTTCTATTATGGAGATGGTGTGTAAGCATGTGTGCAATGATATATTATGATGTATAATTCCAATACATTACAATTTCCATTATTGCCAACCCACCCTCAATAGCCATGGTATGTTCTAATTTACAAATCTTTGTCGCACTACTTAAAAGAAACTAAATAGAAATAGATATCAATTTTTTCCTTGAAACATGCTTTTCCTTTCTTCAAAGTTGGTTTAATTTTTCAAAAGAAAAGTTGAGCTTTGTAACACACATGCGCCAAAAATTCCTTTTCGATGATTCAGTTGAGGAACACACACGTATCTTCATGGAAGCTTCCAACACCTGACCTCCTCCGTGAAAAGGAAGGCTTGCACAGCTGGACTATAGCCTTTTTTATTTCATAGAAAGAAGAAGTTGCAACTGATATAACAGAGGCAAAAAGCAAAAATCACCACAAAAGTATTGCGATAGTTAATTATTATCTGAATTTAACTACACGATAATCAAAGAGAATGTATCCGGTCCATATCAGTGGTGAGGATGAAATGCATTCTCATCTATGAAGACTTAAGTATCGTCCTTAACAAAATTAGAAGAACAATAATTACTTCATCACTGGTGAGTATTGTTCAAAATAAATACATCTCATTCTATCGTTATACCACGTCAGTGTTTCGGAGGAGATTTCCCTCACCGGAAATTAAAATTAATGGTCCTCTGCCAGCACAAGAAATGATTCTATTGGTATAATGTCTCACTGTTTCCAGACTTTAGTTTATTTTTCGCAAACAACCTTTTTTCAATAGTTCAATTAAATACAAATCTATGCTCAGACAAGTCCAAGCTACCTACGTCCATAATTAACCTGAAACCCAAGTCCTTCTATCGTTTGCCTACTTTGAATGAGATGGTAGAAAGTGATATCTGAATTATAGTCTTGAATAGAAATCAGCTAAATATCAAGTGTAACAACCAAAAGGCTGTGATTTGGTGGCATTTAAAGTAGATGATTTGAAATCTTTCTAAAAATATTGTGGAAAAAAGAAAAATATTAAGCAATTTTGATATTATCCGGCTGATAACTTGTCCGTCGAGAAATCTTCACTAATGATATTTTCGGCAGATTTTAATTCTTTAACAGTGATTTTTTTGCCCCTAAGAATCTGATGTTCACGCATGCATATATATATCAATGATCAACTGGATTAATTCCTAATAGCTTCTTAATGACAGAGAAAAGTGTGTGGGATCCATTAATCAGAATGACAAAGAGAGAAAAATTGTGTGGGGTCTATTACCTCACACTCGGTTATCACAATGTTGTTGATTATAAACTTTTTCTAATAAGAAGATGCGTTTGATTAGCAACAACAAACTTTAGAAGAATTTTCATGGAATGGGACCTCCTAGTGATGCGACAGCTGAATCATCGTGACAACAGTTTGCTAACGGTCAAATTTCAAATGGATCACCCATTGGGCTTGATGATATGGTTTTTACCTAACGTGAGTGGAATCTCTTGTTAGAAATATGTGGCCCTACTTGTTCAAGCTCTGGGTTAACTACCAAAACATATTTGGGCCTCTTTTAACTCTTTCTTTTGTGGGCTAAAGCCTAAATATTATACAGATTACTCATTGCGACTCTCTCATGCTATATTATCCTTATATGGGAGGAAAATATAGCGTGTGAGAATTCTTTTAAACTTTAAAGGACAATTAGGTTATTTTTTCATAAAAGAAAAGTCTTTTAATTTTATTTTTTTTTGCAATAATTGTGTAATGTGGAAGTACTTTTGAAGGACAATGCTGTCATTTTATTTATGTTTTTTCAAAAAAAATTATGTGCAAATATATGTAATAATCCCTTTAAAGTAATGCATTTTCATTGAATAAAGCCAACCAACCAACCAACTCTGGGTAAAGTGCATATTTCTATTTAAAATTAGTTTCGTTTGTTGTATCATTAGGCCCAATAGGCTTAATGAGCAATTTGCTAAATTACAAAAAACACCACCTCGAAGCCAACTAACCGAAAGTCATTCCATTTTATAGACTCGAAACCCGCAAAAGAAACAGTTCAACAAAGCCCCCCCTCCTCTCTCTCTCTCTCTCTCTCTCTCTCTCACACACACACACACACTAATACAGTTCGAAACTCCGAAACAATGAGCCTCTTTTCATCATTGTTGTTCTTTCTATTGTTTTTAGTGGAATTAGAAAAAACATCTTCTTTTAGACAACAGAAGCTGTACGAATTCCAAACAAAACTTCAGGAAAAAAAAACCTCCACTATTTTGGCTTCAAATCCAGAAGAGGTAAGACAGTTTTTTGCTTTATGTGTTTAATGTTTTTTTGTTTTTTGTTTTATGTGTTCGTTTTGGTGTTTATATAGAGAGAGAATAAAAATATATATTAAATGGCTTTCTTTTCATTGTGTTATATGGTTTAGAAAACTGCTGGGAGAGTTTTCTATCCACTTGGGTATGGTGCAGACCCAACTGGGGCGCAAGATAGCAGTGATGCAATTTTGAATGCTGTGAATGATGCCGTCCAAGTGCAACATGGGCTTGAATTGTTACCTGGAATTAATGATTTGGGTGGTGTTGTTATTGATTTGCAAGGTGGGAATTACAACATCAGCAAGCCCATAAGGTTCCCTCCTGGTGTAGGCAATATTCTGGTGAGTTTCTCTCTCTTCTTTTTCTCTCTCATGGAGTTACATTGGCGCACGTTAGCATGTTGATGTTTTGAAATGGTTTGTCTTGCTTTTCTGTGGTCCTTTTTAGTTGCAGTTACTAGTACTACTAATAATCTTGAGGTGTTTGGTGGGGTTTTGAAAATTTGGAGTTTATTTAATCTTAAATTAAGTGTATTTTACGCTGTGCATGTGGGTTTGTGACACGTGTCCATGTTCCAACATGTAGCCCTTTCTTTCATGCATGGGATTGCATCAACCATGAGCTTTCTTCAGTCTTTTCATCAATGGCCCTCTTTAATCACATTCTTCAATACCTTAAACCTTTTCCAACTAGAAACCAACTGTTTCTTCCTTCCCTCCAAAAGTTCAAAATAGAGGCAATTAAATTCAAACCAACATATTAAATGATCTTATAATTACATTATTTTAAGTTTTTAAGATATAATTCTTAGATTTTTAATTCAAGGAGATAATTGTAACAAATGGTCATTTGTTCCACATCGGATCCGGATGGAAAAGTGATTGGGCAAGCAGCACTACCCAACAGTTTGAACTTTTAAATAAATAAGCAAGCGTCCATCCATTACAGTTGGTATTAAAGTCAAACCCAGTCGTTGATCCGGTGACACGCCAAGTGTCTAGGTGAGCCGACCTAGGTAAGCAGGATAGCCCGAGACGCAACAAGGACTTTGCGAGTTTGTGTGGAAGAGAATATAACAAGTGTCATTTGTCCCACATCAAATCTGAATTGAAAAATAATTGAGTATAAATAATTGAGTATATAACATTACCTAACAATTTAAACTTTTAAATAAATGAGCAAGTGTCCATCCATTATAATAGTCCACGATAAATAACCTCCCCTCCCAATGAATCCCATGAAAGAATATATTGAATGCGCTTACATATACATACACGCTAATAATGTATAACTACCAGTAGGTGGGGCAAATTTTATTGGACTTGGTATTTTCATTGAAGAGGTAATACCTGCACCCAATATCCATTCATCAATTGGAATTCCCTATAGTAGGACAACAAAATATATATATATACATATATATATTCGATTAAGCTTATACATCAAAAGACGCTCTCACCGCAAGTCAACGCCTTGGGACATCGACATTCTTCACATACCATCCAATGTTAGAACCATATTTATTTCATACCTTCCAACATCCCCAATTAGCAGACACCAAACCTGATAATAACTCTTTAATGCCTTTTACTCTATGTTTGAATGATTAAACTAATCATATAAATAACTCTTTAATGCTTTTTCTCTCTATGTTTGAAGGCTTAATCTAATATTTTAGTGAAAATGAGAATAGCTCTAGCCTCTCCAATTGTCACACGGATATAGTAGTTTATGTGTAAATTCGGTTAATAATGTGCAAATGTTTGTTGAGACATCACACTGGATAATGACCCTTTATTTTTTTTTACTCGTTGTTTGAATGATTAAACTTATCATTTTAGTTAAAATATGATGAGGTATAACCACTCCAATTGTCGCACGATTGTAGTTTATTTGTGAATTTGGTGAATAATTTGCAAATATATGTTGAAATATGGATTTGAAATGTTTAGTCAAATTTTAAGAGTTGACATATTTTTTTTCCAAATAAAATAATTTAATCATAAATTTTGGAATATATTGAATTTTTATTTTCATCCAAATTAATCCCTTTTCGGAATTTTGAAGTCTATAAATAAATAAATAAAAATTCACATAGATTTACTATTTAGTGTAGTCTCTGATAGTCGACAGACAACCACGATCACTGACACATGTAATCGTAATAAAGTAATTATTTTTAGTTTTAATCAGCATTAAATACTTGATCGTTCGAACTTTTGTCACTACACCAATAATAGTCCCTAAAATTTTATGTCATAGAAAGTGTGAAATTTGTTCTATTTGTTTTGCGTTTGATTTTTTATTTTTTTTTTCATTTTTAAAAAATAATATGAATGTTGCTCACTTATGATGATCTCCCATCATGATGGCAAAATATTAACAATTACAAAAAGTTGTCCACCCTAACATTGAGAGTCGTTGGAAGTAAATTAGATTCCATACTTCGTAGAAAAGATATAAAAAGGTGAAGAAAGACGTACGATAAAGTCAATAAATCATGACACCCAACTGCTTGCAGTACCCAACTTCAGGTGTGGGGAGTAGATATTTCAAGAACTCATCTTTCCACCTACACTTAATCTTTATTCTTGCACTTCATGCTCTGAACTTTATCAGTTGCATTTTTTCAAATCCGAAGAAGGAGCCATTTGGCCCAATTGTTGTACTGTGTGTCACAACTATGATTTGACTATTCACTATTTTCACTTGCACAAAAAAATTGTACATTGCAGCTTTTGTCACTCTTCATCACTTTTTTTAATCCTCTCCTGTGTAGGGGAGTATGTGCAATCATAATTATAGTGCAACACATATAAAAGATATATAATTATTGTGTTAATAATGTAAATGTGTATGACAAATATGAGATGAAATGAAGGCATGAGAAGATTCAAGTCCTATTAAAATAGGCTTTTGTCACTCTCCATCACTTTTTTGAGAAGGTTATGTTTTTAAGCTCGCTATAATGAACTCAGATCTTCTCTTATGTGCAATCATTCTATATCAATAGTGCAAACACATATAAACGATATATAATTATTGCGTTAACGATGTAAATGCATATAACAGACACGGAATGAAATGAACACATGAGAAGATCCAGGTCCCATTAAAATAGACTTTATAGGTGCTCTATCCGTTAGTAACACGAAACTAAATGCTGTCTGATAAATGATCGAATGACATAATTCTCGGTAAAAGATGAATTGTTTTGTCATTATGGATATTGGCATGGTTAAGGGTTTTCACAAACTCGTATGATATATCTATGCATTCTTAATGGAAATCATTCTACCACTAGAAGTATTCACAGTACACATGATGTTCATACATGAAGTTACAATTCCTTAATGAAACAATATTGTCCTTCCATTTTTAGGTACAAAGAGGCACATTGCGAGCATCAGGCACATTTCCTGACGATAGACATCTGATTGAACTATGGGCATCAAATTCTCAGAAACTTGAAAAAAATGCCTCTCCCCATAATAACACTCTCACTGATACAAAAGCCCAAAATGTTGGAATCTACTATGAGGACATAACCTTCTGGGACATCCTATTCGATTCAAGCTATCTCGGAGGAGGTCTCTATGTTATCGATTCAGCCAGAATCCGCGTAAGCAACTGCTTCTTCATCCACTTCACCACAGAAGGAATCCTTGTCCAGAGCGGCCACGAGACCTTCATATCAAGCTCCTTCCTCGGACAGCATTCAACTGTCGGTGGTGACCCCGGAGAGAGAGGCTTCTCCGGCACTGCCATTGATCTTGCCAGCAACGACAATGCAGTCACTGACATTGCCATCTTCTCAGCAGCAACTGGGATAGTCCTGAGAGGTCAGGCCAATATGGTCACTGGGGTACATTGTTACAACAAGGCCACATATTTTGGTGGTGTGGGCATTTTAGTAAAAGCAGCACAGACCAGAATAGACAATTGTTACTTGGATTACAATGCTATAGTGATTGAAGACCCTTCTCAGGTTCATGTCACTAATGGGTTTTTTCTAGGAGATGGTAACGTTGTGTTGAAGTCCATTAAAGGTTCGATTTCAGGATTGAATGTGGTCAATAACATGTTTTGTGGGGATCCAAAAAATATGGTACCAATTGTGAACTTAGATGGGCACTTCACAACCATTGATCAAGTGGTGATCGATCACAACAATGTGAATGGCATGAGCTTGAAATCGACGGTGGGGACGCTGACCGTGGCCGGAAATGGGACACGGTGGGTGGCTGATTTTTCATCAGTTTTGGTGTTCCCCAACCAGATAAATCATGTTCAGTATTCATTGTATACACAAGAGGTTGTGGGGCTTCCTGGACATGCAGTGACCAATGTGACTAACAATGTGGTGGTTGTTGAGAGTGAGAAAGCCATTAATGGGGTGGTTTCTGTGGCTGTTGATCAGCATAACATGGTTGGAGAGAGAAACTTTCTCATGTGAAATACAGGGAATTCATTGATTTTTGTCAATTTTGGTTTCATATAGAATTGAAATTTTTGTTTCTATTTAAAAGGTTTATAAGATTGATTTTTTTAGTTATTGGTGAAGGTTGGTTTTTTTTTTTTTTTTTTTTTTTTTTTTTCACTATGTTGTTTCGACTATTTTCTTCATATTAGTTGAATATTTTTAATTTTATTTAAGATTAAAATCATAAAATCTCAACTTGTTTCAGAAAAATCCTTATACTTTTAAATAGTGATCCCATCCGCTAACAAGAGAATGAAATGATAAATTTAACCTTATTATTTAATGTTAAATTAAAAACTAAAATTACTTTTTAAAATTACAAAAATACCTCTAATCTTCTTATTCACCCTCTTTCTTAAATTATCACCCCTCTCTCTCTCATAAATTTTGTAATTTTAAAGGGTATTTTAATAATTTAAAAAAATAGTGTATAGTTTTTAATTTAACATTAAATCGTAAGGTTAAATTTGTCATTTCATAGCCCAGTTAACAAATACGGATATTAAGGAAATGTGATGACTTTAAAAAAGTGTAAGAGTCTTCTTAAACATATTGGAGTTTTATGATCAAAATTTGAAAGTAGTGGATATTTTATGATTTTAATGATTTATTTTATTGAGTAACATTACAAAATTTATTGTTTGAGGTGTTGGTAAATAAATAATGTCAAGGAGTAGGAGCTTCTTTTTTTTTTTTTTAGTTTTTTTAAAACAATTTTTTTTTTCTAAGAACCAAAAAATATGACAGCTCCTTAAAAATATTTTTTGAAAACTCATTAAATATTCTTAAGACAAGATTTAAATATTGAACAAGAATCAAGAAAGCTTCTAAAAGCTAGGGATCTGAAGTTTTGTTTTAGTGCATGTGCTGCACCTTTTTAACTTGAAAAACTTCAATTCAAATCAGAGTTTTGAATTCTTTCTCATAATAACCCCGCCAAAAACCAGAGAAATGATATGCTTGGAAAATAATATTTTAAGACCTTTCTTATATATACTATTGAATTTTAAATCCTTGTTTTATTGAAATAAATGGTGTTTAATGTTTAATGAATGGTGATACTTATTTATATTATGGTTCGTCGTATGGATCAATTTGTAATTGTTTTTCAAGAGTCCGATATTGTTACATACTTAGTATCAATAATCCTAACAATTATTTCATTTTCTACATATGATTTGGTGATTTTGGACACAATGAATCATTGGCAACTCAAATCAAAGCTGACCTATTAAGGGTGTTGTACATGATTTCTAATAATTTGAACTCAAATAAACTTCTATCAAATAATCCCAAAAATGTTAAGGCTGGTACCTTACATCTTGAAGTTTGGGATTCAAATCTCCTAATCATCCCCATTTTTTTTATTTTTTTAAATAATTAAGTTGGGCATTTTAAAAGGGATGACCGCCTTTGTCTAAAGGTGGATCATGAAATGCTCTAAAAAATTCCGATAACACCTAAAAATACATACAAAAACATACATACATACTAGTCACATGCATTATTGTTAAACTTTCCCAACTGGCAAAAAATTGACATCCATCGTATTGACAAGTTAAGACTGTGGTTGGATTTGGAGAAATCATAAGAATAAAATTGTACAAGTTAGCACTTTTTAGTGTTAAACACTAAGTCACATAAGTTTTTTTAAACAAGTGTTGTACTCGTGCTTTGCAATCCTCTCATTTTTGCACTCTGCACACTCTCGCTATCGTTTTCTCCCACTCGACTTAAATTTTTACCGCTATCAAACTTCCATTCTCATTTTCGTTCCCACTCCCACTTTATGCTACTATGTTTAAACATTAGCCAACCAATGTGGTACTTTTCTGGTTGCAGCAGTCAAAAATTGAGTTTGAAGATTGAACCAAGTTGGTGAGCTCGTGATAGCATTCAGTCCTGCCACATTGGTTGTGTAAGTCCATATTAATTGACTAGGTGAGCTTCTCAAGACATTAATAAATGAGACAGAGAGACTCATCATTAGGAATAAAAGTTTTTGTCCTTTGAGAAACCAAAATCATTTAGAGCAACTCGAATGCTCTCTTATTTTGAACTCTCGAATTCCGAGAGATGGATAAAAATAAACTTTTCGATGGCTTTTCATTTAACCTTTCAAAATTTAAAAATCTTAAATTTGTTTTCAAATATAGGAGTTATCAATTTTTTTTGGCAAGTCTCTTTAATTGCCCTACGACGCCGTTTCTTCCTATCTCCCTCAATCCCCTTCGTTGCTGTCTCTGTCCCTCAACATTGCTATCTCTGTTGTCCTCTCTCCCTCTCATCTGCAACGATCGATTGTGACTTTTGCCGTTGTCGAATTCTAAACTTCGGCGGTGGATTCGACGATCTGGGCCCACTAGAGGACTCTAAGGTGTTGCTCAGGCTGCTCGTGGTGGGTCTCGAATGAAATTGTTGAAATCCATCATCATCATGAAGATGATTGCCATTATTAAGGGTTTGGGTTGGGTGTATTAGGGATTGAAAAGGGTAGTAGTGGAAAATTGGTCTTGACCTTGGGGCCGTGAAAAGAGCTAGTGGCGGAGTCGAAGGTGCCGAGCCAAACTCAGGTCTTCTTTCCAGGGGTCTTTGATCTCGATGGCGAATCGGCCCCACGGCCGCTTTCACACGTCGCCGTGGTTAGATCGTGGCTCCCACCGCCGTGGTTCTGGGTGGTCCGATCGTGGTTCTAGGTGGTCCGATCATGACTCCCTCCCCCGTGGTCCGATCGTGGCTCCTTCCGCCGTCGCCGTGGTTTTAGGTCGTGGCATGAGCTCTGGTGAAAAGGGTGGCAGCGATAATGATCAAAAATCGACCGGAGATCGGATGAATTTGATGAAATCTTGTTTTTACAATATGGTTATCATCTCTTCGATTAAATTGTTAATCTTCTTTCTTTCTCTCTCATCTCTCTTTCATTAATCTATTTGTTTCTTGGAGAATAGAGTTTGTTTCCTTTGTCTATCTCTATCTATATTTGCAATGGAAAAAGAATGGTGGTTAAAAATGGAAGTTGGGGATGGTAGTTGTAAAAAAATAAATAAAAAAATAAAAAAAATAAAAAAAAAAATGGTGGTTGTGTCAAAAAATAGCAATGCACTATTAGAGTAGAATTGCTAGAATATATCATTTTGACACTGTAACACCTCTCAAAATATAAATTTGGCATGCACAAATAGCATTTTGTATTGAAGATGGTCTTAAGAATAAAAGTTTTAAATGAATTAACTCTCTTTTAATTATAAAATAATTTATAGTAATAAAAACATAATCATTAGTAGAATATAGATATAGATATATATGATTTCACATTGTTTCTTGTTCAAAACAAACATGATGTCTAAGATTTGAAGGAAGAGATCAAAAACAAACAAACTCATAGAGAACCCAAGGCAATCTAAGAATAAAAGGGAGTTAAATGGACTAACTTATAAAAAATAGAGATGGATAATCCAATAATTGTAATTATTTAAAAGATAATGCTTAGCTACTCACCGGTGAGTAGTCACACCCTACTCATCCCTATGTATTTCAATAAATAAAAAAATAACACATCAACTTTAATAACAAAATCAGCAAAATACTGAAAAACAAAGAAGAAAGTCGGATCGACCCATTTTAATTGGGTAATCACCCTTTCTCTTTTTTCTCGAGTCAACATTTTTGGTGATTTCATACCCTCTAAAAATAATTATTTAAAAATAAACAAATAAAATATATTTCTATCAAATAGATAATTAAGTTACCTTTGTTCTTATATATGTGTGCTAAAAAGAGAGATGAAAAATATGGTACAACATTCCTCTAAACTGAGCAAAGACAACTAGATCTCATCATTCTTAATTACTTGATCCACACAGAGAGAAAAATGCCTCGTGGCTTTGCAAAGGAAGCACCTGCATATGGTGTTGCTATGGTGGTTAGCAACAGCAGCACCAGCAACAGAAGCATCTCAGACAATTTGATCCGATTGTGAAGAATATTGTGGGAACGTATGCATTCCGGAGAGGGGAGGGCGTGGGTTTGGGAATCTACGAAAGAGAGAGAAGAGAGAAATAGTGATTACACACGGGTCGATCCGACCTTTCTTTTTTCTTTTTTCTTTTTTTTTTTAGTATTTTACTGATTTTGTTATTAAAGCCGATGTGTTATTTTTATCACCGGTGAGTAAGTAAGCCTTGTGCTTATTCAAATAATAAAATTAATATAAAAAATAACAAAAATATTAAAAAAATATAATTGTATAAAATTCATCCAAAAAAAATAAAGTCCACGCTTTCAATAATAGTAAGGACAAAATTAAAATGGACAACTCAAAAGGTTTTCAATTCCCCTTTAACAAAAGAGAGATGGATATAAAAATTATATATACATAAAAATTAAAAAATTGTATATAAAAAAATTATTATTTTTAAATTAATAAATACATAGAGTTAAAACCGTACAAATTGTAACAAAAGTTATTTGTCTCGTGTTGAATTCGAATAAGAAAACAATGAGGTATGAATGAATAAGCATTGCACTGTTACCTAACAATTTGAACTCGAGTCCCAACAAAAGCGGGGTCATTTGTCCGACATTAATTCGGATAGACAACCTTCCCAAAGTGCCCACTCGGAACAGAGGGAGTATTTGAGAATTTAATCTATGGCCGGGTATCGTGTTGAAGGGGGACCATTCTCATTCTCATCTTTTTATCGTGCCGTGCCAATTAGGGTTAGGGTTTTTTTCTGTGTTGCATTTCTGTAAATCTTTGAGTATGGCTTATAGACAATCCAGTGGCCTGTTGACCGATAAACAGAGAGCCTTGTACCTTCAAACGTTTTACGAAAGAGTAAGTGTTTCTTCTCTAACGCCATCGTTATCTATTAAAATACTCTCTCACTTTATATATATGTGTGTGTGTGCGCGCGCGCGCGCGTATATGTATGTGTTTGGGGCTAATTAATTTGGTGCATTTTATAGGGATTTGATGTTCCTGACTTACCCCAAGCAAAGATTTTGGTCGAATTATGCCAGTTGCAGCAGTCCACGATGACCTCGAGATTTTAGAAATGGTCACTGGGCTACTCACATTCAGCAATTCAGCATTACAATGACAATCATGTATGTAATTTTATTTATTTATTATTTTGTTGAATGGTATATTAAATTCACATTACACTTATTTTCATATTGGAAATTTTGTTTGGTAGGGGACAAATTATGTCTTTGTGAAGGTTGTGAAGGCAAAAGCTGTGCCTGTTGCTGGTACATTACATTTGAGGCCAAGGATGATAAGGATGGTGATGATGGTCAGTCTAAAACTTTT